AAACTCATTCTAGGTTCTATAATAGATATAAAAATAAAACTGGGCTTTATCCCTGGATAAACTCTGAAACTTTCGAATTTAAACAAATCAAAGAGGATGCTGTCAATTATCTTTCACAAGACTGTACAATTAAAATTTCTAGATTCTTAGAAAAGAAAAGTACAATTAATGAAGCAGTACATATATTAATTCAAATACATGGCATCGAGATGTTTTTAAGTATACTGATTACGAAGCCAAATGTCTGATATGTGAAGAGTACATACTCATAATTGTCCATTTTTTTTATCAAAGGAAAGTTATACGTAACCACTATACAGAGTTTGTCAGAAATCAAGATAAGCATGTCAAACAAACTCAATAATCATTTTCTGGGACTAATTTAAATAAAATTTGTCAGCCAGAGGTTGGCATACAACAATATTCCATCGAATATAAAATAGATCTTGAAAATTTTTTGTTTATTACTGAGGTTGAGAAAACAAGTGCCACAGATTGCTTTCATACTAATTTGGAAAGAAAAATATGTATTTATTGTAGAGGAATAAAAAGGAAAAAATATCATAAATTTTTAACGATGAAGAATTATTATATAGTAGTATACTAAAAAGCAGTTTAAGTGCTGCTTAGCTCGATGATACTGTATAATAAAAGAACGGGAAGAAATTAATACACAATTCAATCCAGACAGAATAACAATAAAGGCATAGATTATGATATAATAAAATTTGCTTTTGTATTATATGTCACATGCATAGCCACTGTGGGACTAATTTCAGACCGTAATCGGATTAACACTGAATTATAATTTTTATAAAACATGAAATAAAAATAAAAAATAAATGCTTTATTAGTATATATTTTTCTGATATTGTCATCTTTTCTTCTCATTTATTGATTCAAAATGAGAGACTTATGGATCAAGGGTGCAGTGATTAGCATTCATTAGGTCATATCACAAGGTTACTAGATCAAATCCTTCAGGGGCAACTCCTGACACTGGTAAATCTATCCCATCAGTGTAACTGTAAATTAACTGATGCTTTTAAATATAACTGCTGATAACTGGTCAAATGGGATTTTTTATGTAATCACAGAACAGTCTATATAGGCGAACATTTAATTGTGATGTCCAAGTTTCCGCCTGCAAAATAAAATTATCAGTCTTTTCAATTTGTGGGATTCCGGATTTTCAGACTTTGTCCAGGGATCAAGTCCAGTTTTTTTTATATAATTTGAACCAAAATTTATCAGATATAGTGATTGGTAAATCAATTAATTTTGAACAACAATTCAGATATTCGGGAGTTAGTACATTATCAGACTTGGCTTGTGCATCCATATTGACTCTTATAATGTCAAAGCAATTTAATTTCTCACATTAAATCACATCTAAAAGATATTATTTTCTGGTCATTCACAAGTTTGTCCAGATGTGTATGTTAACTGCAATTCTATATACACTCCACCAACAATAAAAGTAATAAATTGGCGGGATTTATGCAGTAATTTGAGTTTCGCGCTGTTCCCATTTAATATAGTATGATCCGGTTTCATATTTACTTTCTATGTCTTCTTTATCATCATGGTCTAAATGGTATAATGGACATAATGTCTTGAAGTAATTCCCTAATAATCAAACTTTTTCATTACTGAATTCATAATATAGATCAGGATATCGCTCCAATATTTTGTCGCGGAAATTAGCACGGGCATGGGTTGGATTAAATGATGTTGTTTTTCGTGAATGTGAGTTTCGATAGTATACCCACCTCAATATCCAGCGATGATTTGTCATCCTCAATTATAATATCTTCCGAATTAGAGGTATGAGATAATGGGGTAAAGGAAGTAGAAGTTTGTTCGTTAACATAATTTATAATGTTTTTTATTTGTAAATAAGGATAGAAATCGCATTTGGCTATATGAAACTTGTCTAATTTTTTCTATCCCTGCTGCACTAAAAAGTGTTCTAATTTTTTCTAGTTTTGAGGATTTTACTGTTATTTCTGGCCGAAACTGTTTAATTTCGTGATACACTAGACTAGTTGCTTTTTTCTTACCGACTTTGTTACTATCAGAAACTTCATCTATTCTTCTGTCATGTTTTCAAGCAAAGAAATATCAATATAAAATTGTATATTGACCAGATCGAATTGCTTTTCGAAATATGCATACTATGATTTGTGCTGAAATTGGATCATTGATATAATGTCCAAATTTTGTATTGAGTTTTCACCTAGCGTAGCTGAATTATTACCCCCAGTAGTCATGGAAATCTGTTGCTGTAATTCTTGTTCTACAATATATTTGTTAATGGTTTATCAGGCGAATCAATAAGTTCGATATTTTGTTCTGAGATTTTATTATTGACATATCGAAAATTTTATCAGAAGATTTTTCGTGATTTTTAGTAACGGAAATTTCTTTGCATTTTTTGCTTACATGATTTTGCTCGGAAAGATAGAAATATCCGAAACTAAGTTCTGGGATCGGTCTTCAGCCGATTCACATTGAAGCTTCTTCTCCCTATTGCGTTACTTTATCATACTACTAACTCTTTCCTTACTTTTTAAATTCAGAAATTCATCGGTCTCTTTATTTTCTAAAGATTTAGGCTCAGACGAATATACAGTATATGAATACTGGAAGAAATATCAGATGATGCTTCGTGGAGAATGAATCTTCTAATACGTGTACACTATAATCTTGTGTCTTTTTCTGTTCCAATTTCGTGACTCTATCTGCTTTGTGGAGAATAGAATCTTCTAATACGTGTACACTATAATCTTGTTTCTTCTTCTGTTCCAATTTCGTGACTCTATCTCTGAGCTTAGCATTTTCAGCAATGATATTACTGGTGTCTGTTTTATTTTCTTTTCTGGCTCCTCGAATCTGGTCTTGAGCTCAGTATTGGCTTCTATAACTTGTTCAATTTTGTGTTCTCGGCTTTGATCTTGGAATGTCTCTTTCTAAGCTCAATGAGTTGTGTATTTAATTCTTGTAAAAATTGATTTAGACTATGTATTTTCCATTGTTTTATAAAAGATACGGATATGTTCAAAATTTATTAAAATCCTCGAACTACGATTTATTCTTTTGTGTCATCTAATTCGGGATGTATTATATGAGATGAAATCAGGGTAACATTATTTTTCTCTCTTGAATACGTATGTATAATTCATGATGTCGACCATAACAAAAGAAAATATACCAATGGATTATTCATCTCAAGATGAGCTCCGATAACTAGGCAACAACAAACTATAAATGAGTAGGAAAGTATAATCCGAGTTTACCGAGATCAGATACATGCACAGTATATTAAGAATGAGCTATAAATAGGAGCTAGACCTTAATTTCGTATGTCGGTGATTGAATCATGGACCGTAACATAAGTCAGTCCCTCCGTGTTATTACGTAATATGTTTCAAAAAAGTTGCAAGATCATGAGTAATGCAAACAATGGCTTTAAAAATCCAGGCGTCTGGATCAAATCAATTTTTGACAGCTCAAAAAAAAAAAAAAAAAAAAAAAAAAAAAAAAAAAAAAAATGGTCACACTTGAATCACTTCGTGCTTTGGTGAAAGTATTTTCATCAGAGAAGATTCATTTACCACGCAAGCTGTTAAGCGAGACCAGGTGGGCAGGCGTCACACTAGTTTTTTCTTAAGAATCGTCTCGCATTGACTTGTAAGGATTGTAGTCTTCCTTATCCGCTTGCCTCAGACGTATCTGTGCAAGATTACAACTCTTTCATCGAAAGCAAAGACAATATTGGATACAAGACTGAGTATAGAAACGGCACTGTATATATAGTTGACATGTCCACAAGTGAACATGAGGCTGTTATCGAGGTGGTGGGAAATTGCTTCCGTGCTCCAAACGGTAGCGCTCCCTTTCTTACTTCTCCACTACATATTCTTGGACAGCCAGGTAAGGGAATTCTTTCCAGTTTACTCGATCTTTGGCTTATTGATTTCATGTCCTTCCCACAGTACACAAATCGCCAAGTCGAGATGAATCCTATATAATGCCAGATCTTGCTGTCTATCCAAATACTCTTTTTGTTCCACGACCACCTGTCCCACACCCTGGTCCTCCCCCAAGTGACAAAAGGGTACTTTGAATTGATCGTAGGATTGATAAGAAACCTTTCGTAATACTAATATGGTTTATGCAGGGAAACCCTCATGCTAGGATAATCTGTGAAGTAGCCATGGCACAAAGATCCTCCGACTTAAAAGAAAAGTGCAGGCTATGGAAGCATCAGCCTTACGTACGAGCTGTACTCGGCATCAAGCTTTACGAAACAAAGACTACACGTAACGCACGAGGATACAGAGATCGGGCGATGAAGGTATATCTCGCTGTTCTATTATTATATAATTTTTTATCTCAATAATTTTTCAATATTAGGCTATGCTTTGGCGACAAGGGGTGCAAAGGCAAACGGTAAGGTTTACTTGTCTAGAGAGAGAAAAATGTATACTTCCTGTAAGGCTCAAAATTTTTTATATGGCAGTGGAAATTTGGAACCGTCAACAAAGACGGATCTGCTACTAGTTGTAATGCCCTAGGCAACCCAAACTATTTAATCAACATCCCCGTTCGCGACGTATTTTATAATCCACCGGTTCCTGCCGTTGCATATGGTCCATTACCACCACCTCCTGCTGTACTGATGGGTACTAATATTACCATCGACTTATATGAAGTTCAGCAGGCAGTTTTACTTTATCAGGAAATGTGAAAAACATCAACCTTCTTTAACTTCACAAACCCCTTCGCTCTGATGTACTATAAATTTGTTTAGAAGTTACCTAATAAGTTACTGTGCCACTTTTGGGCGTGTTGTTATTTTAATTCGATCACGAGAATTGATCATCATTGTCCCATGTGTCTTAATATGAATTTCCTATCTCTTGCCACCTGAAAACCTGAACCCGTACAAGTCTCTTACGATTTGCTACAACTATCCACAATACTTTGGATTCGTGTGCCCGTCAGATTATCAAGTGATTAATTGTCACGTATAGGACTATCGATTTGACATAGCTTTCGCTGTAAATGTTGTATCTCGTTTATAACAGCTCATGCATATATAGTTTTTTCGTACCATAGAACGTATTAATTGATTCATTCCATGTCTTTTGAAAATTTTCAAGTGTTAATCAATTAGTTTCTGATATTTAAGGTAAAGCGATTGTTTAGTTATCATATAATTTTTTTTCTCATATCTCGGGTTGACCGACTTTATCTGGATTGGATATGTATTCTTTTTACCGCATGTGGTATACTAATTTATGGAAGAATGGATCATATCTTATGGCAATTTTTGCGACACAATTTATATGTTTCGCAAGATTAGAACATATAGAATTTTCAATAGTTGGTGATTTTAGAATCCCTATATTTACCTCTTTCTTGATAGCCAATTCTTCTCTTTTTATTGTTTTGATAAATTCCACCAAATTCTCCCACATTGCAGTCACAGAGTGGTTAGAGATTGGATCGTCACCTATAAAACATTCATAATCAATTCACTCTTCTATCTTTTTGGATAACACCTCTCTTCCTTTTTTTATAGCATTTTTATATGTATGCTTGTAAGCGTACCCACGGTTAGAAAATATTTAGGATCGATTCTATTTATCACATTTATCACCTTAATATATACTCGAGCCACCTTTTGGTCTTATTTTGATCTGAGGTATCAATCTGTTTATATTTCTCATCTGAATTCGTAATATTCATGATATTGTCAGTGGATAGTGGTTCGTATTTTTTATCATACATAATACGTAAATCGGGCACAAAACCCATTAATAGTATTTCCAAAGTAATGGGATAAATCCAATTCGCTATTTAATTCTTTGTAATATCTACAAATTCCATTTGATCTGCTGCCCCCAACTTAAGTTTTTTACCAGTCAAATCGAAGATCCTGTCAGGTTGGACGATTACATAACTAAAACTCTCACCCGGGTCCGGAATCCTATTTTTATATTCTTTTATCACTCGTTTTATAAAATGTTAAATGCGTATATTATTTTTGTCAGGTTTTCACACATCTGTCTCTATAAACTGCTCGAAATTTCATTGCTTAGGATTGGCTATGGTCTCTTTAAGAATATCTTCAGCAATCTTATGGGGAGAGCATGTATTAATGATACTCATAGGCATAATGACGTATAGTCAAAGCTCGATCAATGCAATCAAAAAAGGGAAACATTGGTATACAAATGGATCAAGGAAAAATGAGAGCCCAAATAGAATCCTGGTAAGCACAATACATGAGATAATAACAATACAGAATATAATATAACATGGACCAAAGTCAAGAGCCATTCAAGCAATCAAGGAAATGAGTTGGCAGACAAACTAGCTGCAACTACACTAGTTGACAAATACAAATATATAATAAAGATCCAAGAAGAAAACTCCACTAGTAGCAAAACACTATTAAGATGGGACCAGTCCTTCATAAATCTTCCATTAAAGACACTTGGGAGAACTTTGCTTAAAACTAAATGGACAAACAAATGGAGAGCCTTGAGATGGAACCAGGACTGGCTTACTGTTAGGAAAATCAAAGAGATAGATTGGAACATGACATCGCAGACAATAACACCATCAAAAGTAATATCCCCTCAAACAGACCTAGGGGATCATAGAGGCAGGACTTTTCAATGGAAGATGTGGTTAAATAAGTATCCAACCATAGTGAACATGAATACAAGAAAGCCACATCTGTACAGTAGCCCGACATGTATAATCTATAAGAGACAGGAGAACAAATACTTTCAGCTATTTATATATGGACCAAATGGAACAAGACTAATAAAAAAATTCATGAAATTCCTTATAGAGGAATGTACAGCCAGAGCAGATAGCAAGAAACAAACAGAAAAAATAAGAGATAGATGAAAATATTTATTTAAAACAGCAACTACAACAACAAGAACATCCAGAGCAGATGAAGTGAGATAGACTGATATCATAAAAGAAGTTATTACACACAAGATAAGGAAGGCAGCAGAAGAAATCACTGATAATGAGAAGACTATCAAGATAGCAATAAAAGCAATCACAACATGGTTCTGGCAAAAGAAATGAGAGGTATGAAAGCTAAGATGTGAGCTAGTGACAGAGTGGGAAAAATCGCAGGAAATCACTAGAAAAGAAAAGAGAGAAATGATAAAAAACTGCAAGGTGAAGGATAAGAAAGACACATTACAGGAGAGTAGAAACCTCCCAAATAACTAGAATATCTCTATATAGACCTAATCAATTATAGTATGAGAAACATTCTTCAAAATAGATATATATCAAACCTAATTTTTTCTATAAGTTTTAGTATTAGTGAAGTCATGATATGCTAACATTTATTATTCAATGGATTATAGCAAATCATAGGGTTTATTCAGATACTGAATCATTAGTTTTTTTTTCTATCTTAAATGTATTTTCTCACAATTCAATTTGTATATATAGGAAAAATATTTTTTAATTAAATAAAAACTATATGATATAACTTTACCAGCTTTTAAAAAAAAAAAGAAGAAGAAGAAAATTATCACTTTAAAGACAGAATTTTTCAACAATCAAATTATTTTTAACTCAAATTATTATTCTACCTTTTCTATTTAAATTACTAATAATAAGCCTCTACATTTATTTTTATCCAAATTAAGAATTTTTGCATATTATATTAGAAATTTAATTTGGGACTTCTTTATATTAATCCTGTCTCTATTTAATTTTTAGAAGATAAATTAAATATATTGATAGTAATTATTATATTTATTATTTGTTTAGAATACTATTTATTATTTTCTTTAATTGATTTTGAAAATTTTTTCTTTAAACTTTTCAATTATTATTGTTATTATTAGAAAAGGTAGTTGCTTAATCTTTTTAGTTACAAGAGATTGAGATTTGTATAAAGTAGGATGTAATC